TCTTCTCCTGCCCAGGCCGCCTGGCTGACAATGGGGAATGATCATGCTGACAGGTTTGCTAAGCTTGGTGCTCGGCGTCATCCTGTTGATGGAGCTGCCATGGAACGTCTGAGTAGGTCGCGTATTGTAGTAGAGCACATTGGCAAATACATAGGTTTTGTAATGTCTCGTATATTGCCGCGCCTCAATGAGTTTCCTCGCCCTCCCCGGGCCGTCCTTCCTCCATGTCTACACCCCCCAGCGGCTGTCGTGATGCCGCCTACGGGAGTCCCACATGAGTTAGCATGGGACTCTTCCGTCCAACGCTTTCGGTGCATAGCCTGTTGGGCCTCCAGCCATTGCAAATTCGAGCTGTATAGGTCCGCTTGTCCTGCCCCTCATGGATTCGGCCATGTGGTCATGCGTACTGGTAGGTACGTATTCTGTAAATTATGCGGTTCGTATTCGTCCACGAATGTTGGACACCTTCACAAATTGTGTAACAGGCGTCCAGAATCGAGCACCGCCAAGTACAGGCTTGGTTATTTGATGCAGGGACTGGACCCCAAGAGTAGACAGTCCACTGGTCCTGTGTTGCCAGCAGTGACGCGGCTATACGACGAGCTGGGGGACCCGTCGGTGGTGCCTCCTAGTCTGGCCTTGGTCCCCCATCTCGTCCCCTAGTGCTTGGCTTCTGCTGGGGAGTTGCGGCAAGCGCCACTCAGCAGTGCCATCTTGCAGCGGAGCGTTCGGCTCCCTCCCAGGTGTCGATTTTTCGTCGGCCGTTTTCGTTGCCCACCGTGCTCCCCAGTATTGGGGCCTGTCCGGGGTGAGCGAATCGTGCAAAGCGCGGTCGCCCCTTCTTCTTGTTTCGCTGTTTCTCTTTTCTTGGACCTGCCTCTTCGGAGGCAGGCCACCGTCCTAGTCCTAGTCCTTCTCATCCTCCTCCTCCCCCTCCTCCTCCTCCTCCTCCTCCTCCTCCTCCTCCTCGTCCTCCTCGTCATCCTCCTCCTCCTCGTCCTCCTCGTCATCCTCCTCCTCCTCCACTCCTCCTTCCCCTCCTCCTCCTCATCCTCTTCCTCCTCCTCCTCGTGCTCCGATCCCTCCCCCCCTTCTCCTCCTCCCTTCCCCCTCCGCCTCATACTATCCTCTCATCCTTCTTTCCTCCCTCCGTCCTCCTCCACGCGCATCCTCTCTTCCTCTTCACTTCCTCCTACTTCTCCTCCCCTCCTCCTCCTCCTCCTTCCTCCGTCTCCCCCGCTATCCCACCTCCTCCTCCTCCTCCTCCTCCTCCTCCTCCTCCTCCTCCTCTTCCTCCTCCTCGACCCCAGCAACACCGCACCCCAGGATAGGTCTGTTGTGTTGGAGGGGGGAGGGGGAGGGGGATGAGCAAGACCAGTGCAAACTCACGAGTCACCAACGATGTTGGAATAACCCCTCCTCCCCCCTCTGGTCATAGTCCCGATCCTGCGCCTCCTGTTCATCAGCCTCCTACTCCCCGTCGCCCTCTCCCACTTGTTTCCCGAACGATCCCCGGAAGAGTACTAACAGATTTCATTAGGTGAACTCAGCTGTGGCGGCGAGGGTACCCTAGGAGGTAACAGCAGCAAAAGCAGAGAGAAGCGCCCAAATGCTGGAGGGCCACCCTTCCACAGCTGCTGAAGTTCAAGGCGGGGGGCCCTGTAACTTCCGACCACATCATTGTTTGTCAGTTGTTCATAGTTATGTTTCTATTGGGACATATACATACACATTGCGTGTCGCGGGCGGGATGGCGGGAGAGGCTCGGGACGTTGACCCCCGGGGACTGAGAAGTGGATCGCGTGTCGCGCCGAAGCGTAGTTGGCCAGAGCCGGCGGAGCGACACGCTGATCCAAAGTTCCTGACCTTACTTCTATAGAGGCCTCCCAGATGGGGTCCGGATAGTTGGGATCGAAGGATCGCGCCGCATCTCCAATGCATCGCCGATGTTGGCCCGGCAATGGCATCGGCGACGTCGCGACGCATCCGCGACGTCCGCGGCGTGGGGAACATGGGCCCCCACATTCGAGCCCCATCGTCGATGCATCGCGATGCGGCCGAGTCCTCCGACCCCATGTGCCCGGCCCCATCTCGGAGGCCTAACTACACTGTTCGAGGCCTTGCTTGCTCCTTCGGGGCCGCATGGTTCTTCGTTTCTGCGTGCTTGGGCCCTGGGGCCCAGAATCGCCAAGAGCCCGGAGCCAAAACAGGCTGGCCCGCGTGGGTCCGCTTTGAACGACGCTTCGCGGTCTGGCCCCAGGCACTGCCTGCAGCTCAGGACCCCCTCCCCCCTTCAGGCGGCGTTTTCACGTTGCCCTCGAGCAAGCTAGTGGCTCCCACTGTGGGCGGGGAAACCCACTGCCCCTCGCCACCCGAGGCTGCGCCACCCGAGGCCTTCCAGGGACCGCACGCTGACAGCTGTGCACTCCTCGTCATTTCTCCTCGCCATTACTCCTCACCCCCCATCCAACTCCTCCTCCTTCTCCTCCTCTCTCCGCCTCTCCCTCCCCATCTCCGCCCTCCTCCTCCCTCCTCCTCGCTCCCCCTCCTCCTCCTCCTCCTCCTTCTCATTCCTCCGCCTCCCCGCCTCCTCCTCCTCCTCCTCCTCCTCCTCCTCCTCTCCTCCTCGTCAATCCTTCGTCATCCCTCACTCCTCCTAGCGGTCCACCTCGTCATCCTCCTCCTCCTCCCCTCCTCTTCTCCTCTCCTCCTCCTCCTCTTCTCTCCTCATCGTTCCTCCTCCTCTCTTCCTCCCTCCTCCCGCCCCTTCCCCTCATCCTCAATCCTCATCCTCCTCATCCTTCTTTTCTCCTCCTCTTACCTCCTCCACAGCCTCCACCTCCTCCTCTTCCTCTTCCACTTCCTCCTACTTCTCCTCCTCCTCCTCCTCCTCCTCCTCAGCCTCCCCCTCATCCACCTCCTCCTCCTCGGCCTTCTCCTCTTCCTCCTCCTCGACCCCAGCAACACCGCACCCCAGGATAGGTCTGTTGTGTTGGAGGGGGGAGGGGGAGGGGATGAGCAAGACCAGTGCAAACTCACGAGTCACCAACGATGTTGGAATAACTCCCCCAAAACTCCCTCTTCGTAGGCCCCTACAACGGTTCATTTCCTGGAAGACAACCGTTTGAAGACCCTGAAGCATGCCAAAACATTGTTCTCGGCATATCAACGCCACGGGTAAACCTGATTGTTGCGTCCTGACGATCTTTAATCGCGCAAGAACGCCAGTCCTGGAACTTCAACGCTGCGAAGCATCGTAACTGTTGCGCCCTCATCATCGTGAATCCTTGCAAGACAACATTTCTGGAACGTCGACCATGGGACTCCGTGAAACTCTTGCAGTTGGCAAGAACGAATGTGCGCGGCGCTGGAGCGATAACCACAGTTTGAAAAGGAACTACCCTCAATCAGTGAAGCCCTTGCAGCTTGTTCAAAAATAATGTGCATGGCGCTATGGCGAGAATCACATGTTGAAAGCGACCCGCCCTCAGTCCGTGAACTCTTGCACTGCAAGTGTCAATAAAACATGCGCGTGGCGCTAAGGCGAGAGCTACGTTTTGAAGCCACCCGCCCTTGAGCCCGTGAAGCTCTTGCAACTTGTTCAAACGAATGCGCGCGGCGCTAAGGCGAGAACCACATGTTGAAATCCACCCGCCCTCAATCCGCACAACTCTTGCATTGCAAGTGTCAATAAGAAGTGAGCGTGGCGCTAAGACGAGAGCTACGTTTTGAAACCACCCGCCCTCGATCCGTGAAGCTCTGCAACTTGTTCACACGAATGCGCGCGGCGCTAAGGCGAGAGCCACATGTTGAACACCACCCGCCCTCAATCCGTGAAACTCTTGCATTGCAATTTTGTAAAAATGGGCGTGGCGCTAAGGCGAGAACCACGCTTTGAAAACCGCCCGCCCTCGATCCGTGAAGCTTTGCAACTTGTTCAAACGAATGCGCGCGGCGCTAAGGCGAGAACCACATGTTGAAATCCACCCGCCCTCAATCCGCAAAACTCTTGCATTGCAAGTGTCAATAAGAAGTGATCGTGGCGCTAAGACGAGAGCTACGTTTTGAAACCACCCGCCCTCGATCCGTGAAGCTCTGCAACTTGTTCAAACGAATGCGCGCGACACTAAGGCGAGACCTACATATTGAAAACCACCAGCCCTCAGTCCGTAAAACTCTTGCATTGCAATTGTTAAAAACAGAATTGCGCTGCGCTACAGCGAGAGCCACATTGTGCCCTGGAACCGTGAAGCTGTTGCAACTAGTTCAAACGAATGCGCGCGGCGCTAAGGCGAGAACCACATGTTGAAAACCACCCGCCCTCGATTCGTGAAGCTCTGCAACATGTGGAATTCGAATGTGCGCGGCGCTCAAGCGAGAGCCACATTTTGAAGATCACCCGCCCTCAATCCGTGAAGCTTGTGCGAATTCTGAAAACGACCCGCCCTCCATATGTGAAGCTGTTGCCAACTTTTAAGGTTCAGAATCGTAAAGGTGAGGAAGTCTCAAGCGAAACGCCCGGCCCACTTTAAAAACTGGCCTCGGGGTGCGGCAGAGGGAGTATATTTATAAGGAGAAGAAATGAATGAGGAGGAGTAGGAGGAGTATGAGAAGGAAGAGGAGGAGGAGGAGGAGGAGGAGGAGGACGAGGAGGACGAGGACGAGGAGGAGTAGGAGTAGGACGAGGAAGAGGAGGCGGAGGAGGGGGAGGAGGAGGAGGGGCGAGCGTCCTCACTCTTCCCTCTCCGTCACTTCACTCCTCCTCGCAACCTTCGTCAGCCCAGACCTTCGATACGTCCAGATCGTCCTGACGTGCGGGGGTCCCAGAGGTCTCGAATCTCCTTCCCTGGTGCCATTGCGTTCATTCTAGATCGCTGCTCGATAACTCCAGGGCCCGAAATGGGACTCAAGAAGCAGAAGGCCACCAAAAAAGCCAGCACTGAGGGAGCGACGACGACGACATCGGAAGTCTAGGTCGGGCTTCGCCGTACGCGGCGGGC